CATGCCTTTCTCTTTCTTTTTATCTCTGTCTCCCCCTGTCTATCTTTTTCTGTTTTCTCTCTTTTCATTTCTTTCTTTTTCTTTCTCTCCTTTGTTACTATTACTCTCTCTTTCTCCTCTCTTTCTATCTATTTTTCTTGTCCTTTTCGCTTCTATCAACATGCTCTCTCCACCTTTCTCTCCATATCTATCTGACTTTATTTCCTACTCCGTCTTTTTATACCGTTTACCCAGAATTCGTTAGAAGGAAACTGCATTAACTCTTTCAGAAAATAACAAAGGAAAGTGAAAAAGGCAGAATGCATGGTTGTAAGCAAAAAGAACGGCTCAAGATGCAAACTACACGTTGGAAGCACCAAAATCAAGCATCTGCAAAAATTTAAATATCTGAGAAGTCTTTTAACTGGACGGAAAGAGCGACAGCGAAATACGAACGAAGCTAAGCAAAGTATTAAGAAACAGGAAAATTTCGTTAGAAACAAAAAAAAGAAAAGATTACTGAACTGTTACCTAATATCTGCCCTCTTATGAATGCTGGGCAATTTCCTCATAAATGAAGCAACAGAAAACAGGTTCTACAGAAGGATGTTGAGAATACCATGGTCAGAATATGTGAGCAACTACGAAGTTGTAGAGAAAATGCATACAAAAAAGCAACTTATACTTTAAGTCAGAAAAAGAAAGTTGAAATTTCTATGATGAAGAAAGAGGGCTTGGAAAATCAGATACTCACGGGACAGATTGAAAGCAAGAGGGACAGAGGGAAACAACGCATAACTTAGTGAACTTGAGTAAATGGATGACGGAACAAGGTTAAGAAGAAATTAAAAAAAAAAGGCCAAAATTTATTAAGAGCTACAAAGGAGAGAAAATTGTGGAGAGCCATGATCTCCAACTACTAGAAGCGTATTTTCTCGCATTAAAATTAGCTCACAACACAATCACAGATAGAAGAGTAAAGGAAAAAAATATCCACTGGAGGTGACGATTTCCTTCAACCTCCCCCCCCGCCTAGCGACGCGCCTGTTCAGAAGTAAACCGACTAAATTCTGAACCGCAATAATGTTAATTTAAGCAGCTGATGAATGCATACTTGAATATATCGCTCGGTTCACACTCCTCCTTAGTCTTTTGAACAGGAGCAGAAGTTTATCCATTGTTTCCAGTTTAGAATTGGGTTTCTGGTTCCTTCTTGAGACTACTCATTCTTTTTCACTTTCAGTAGTGCTTTGAGTCTTAGTGGCATTATCACCTTGCTTAGGGCGAACTGATAAAAAAAAAGATATAGCGATTAATAACCTTAGCTTTAATGTGGCACAAAGCCCAGAGTATGGAGCACACCCAGTGAAAAACGAACTCACTCAGACGTAATTGATCTAACTTGAAAAGCTTGTTAACCATTACACCACGGAGAAGTGCGCGCTTGACAGCGGAAAATATGAGTACAAAAAGCGAAGAAAAATGATCATTTTTTTTTTTTTTTACTGGATTCAAACTTGATGTTAAACAAGATTGTAATTATCTTCATTTGATCCCAGTCAGGGTAAAATTTACATTCTGTCCGCTACTTTACTATTAGTTGTGTTGTGGGTCGATTGTTTCGTGTCATTTACTCATTGGGTGGGTGAATGCCTTGGTATGGAAGGGGCAAGGAACATCCTTATATTTGGTAAAAATTGAGGAAAATATTAGGTGCAAAAATGATCACCGCAGGCGCAGTCCATGGGCCTCGTGCGACGAGCGAGCCGTGTGCGATCATCGAGCCGCGTGCGACTAGCGAGCCGCAGGCGACCAGCGAACCGCGTGCGATCATCGAGCCGCGTGCGACTAGCGAGCCGCGTGCGACCAGCGAGCCGCGTGCGATCATCGAGCCGCGTGCGACCAGCGAGCTTCGTGCGACCAGAGAGCCGCGTGCGATCATCGAGCCGCGTGCTGCATATTTGAGAAGCTTGGTTCAAATAATCCTTTGATCTCCAAATAAACATCAATTGATGGCGCTACATCTTTGGGAGTTAATAACATTGTTTAAAGCGATTGATTAATGTTTCAGGTTTTCCCGTAGAGTACTGATTGACAAGTCTTTGCTCTTTGATCTAAATTTGCTGCTCCAAAATGTAGCCTTTTGCCAGTCTGCCAACAGTTATCTGCTGCTATTGTTTTGGAACGAGATGGAGTTCATCTTCAAGAATGAACCTTGCATCCGAAGCCATTGAAATTTCTACCATCTTTGTTCTTGCGATCATAACCGCTAATTTGGGGAACAGACTTCCCCCACTGGATGCTTCCCACAAAAATTACAACATTAACCACTTAAAGTCTAGGGTCGATCGTTATCTGTATCCTCATAATTTTCCCTTCCTACTCTCGCCATCGGGTGTGCGTTGGGTAATGGTTATCGACTCAGAATTAAAAATCGGAGAGCCGAGTTCGAATTCTAGTCGGGTAAAGTCATATATGCGCAAATACCTTTGGGAAATGTAGGAATCCATTTCTTTTCCTCCTGCTATGTAGGGCATATCAGGACGGACTGGTTTGTATATCCTTGGGTGGCAACGAGTCTACGAGAAGGAAACATTGAATTCAAACCTGATCGCACTATCCTAAAGTATATACGTGCAGCTGGGGAAGGCTCGTAGATCTCAAATTCTCAATGAAACTCCATCTATGGAATTTCACATCTTATTGAATACGACTTCTTCTACGATTTATCATGTTTTGTTTAAATGCGACGCAACCAAATCGGCAACCAGTCTACAGCAGAAAGAAACGGCAACCTACGGTGGAGATAGCGGCTCGGGGTGAGGAATCGGAGAGTTCGAATTCCAGTCGAATCGATTACATTCACTTACGTATGAATCCTCTTCTTCACCCCCATCTATGGGTAAATAGCAGGACAGAACGGGTTTTTATAACTTTGATGGCAACTGGTCTACTGCTGGAAAAAAAATCTGCCTCGTCAGACATGTATCGAAAGATACATGATCGCCTTAGCGTGTATCAAGCATGGCACATAACTGACTGATATTCACTTACGTGCTAATACGTCCCGATACACTTGGAAAAGGTATGAATCCTCTTCTCCCTACAGCTATGGGTAAATAGCAGGACAGGCCGGGTTCTATAGCCTTGGATGGCAACTGGCCTACCGCAAAAAGAAATGGCAACCTACTAAAAAAAAAAAAAAAAAAAAAAAAACTGCCTCGTCAGTCATGTATCGAAAGATACATGATCGCCTAAGCGTGTACCACGCATAGCACATAGCTGACTGACCCGAGCGTGTATAGCGTATGGCACTTAACTTAATAACTGTCACGTTCATATTGCACAACTGATTCAAAAACTACTCTACCTTGAGTGGCTATAGTGGCTTGTATTGAGTGCATATTAGGAATAGAAAAACTGTGTCGATGCTTTTCGAGAGGTTAACTTTAAAAAAGAAAATGAGGATAACGGACTATCCGTTTAAAATAAAGAGATTTTATGTCATATTTTGCGATTGCCGGGTACAAGCTCCAAGAGAACTCGAATCGGACTTGGCTTGTGAGAGCGACACGTCAGCCATTGTTGGACATCGATGAATGCGCATAGAAATATCTGACAACAAACGGAATCCATATATTCATCGTAGATACGGATACAAACGCACGCGCGGGTATTGAGTATTTTGTTGTTTTCTTTTCTTTTTTTTTCTTTTTTTTTAAACTTATCTTATTGTAGCCTTTATTGCTGAAATATATTGTTTAGATGCTTCTATCTTCTCATAGATTTTTTTTTCTGTAAAAAGCTCTTCTGTTTCATCTTGCATTTTTTTTTGTAAAAATTCATTTCGTAATTCAGTTCTTGACAGCCAGCCATCCGAGTTCTCTCCCTTTTCTTATTCACTTACGAAACACTTTTTTTAATCTTAACATCTCGTCCAACCTTTCTCATCGGAAAGCATTAATTTTTTATCCTACAAAAGGTATATATATATATATATATATATGAACGTGTGTGTGTATTATATATATATATATATATATATATATATATATATGTGTGTGTGTGTGTGTGTGTCTGTGTGTATGTATATGTCTGTACATAAAAAGCATTTCTTCATATATGACTTTATCTACTTTCTCACGTTTGCGTATTGATGGGTATTTTATAGATGTCGTTATAACTATATGTAGATATGCGGGCATTGTAACGGATGGTAAAGGGTAGAAACGGGGAGCAGGGTTCAAATCCCTGGCTATTCAGTGCATTCAGTCAGTCTGTTAAGTGCCATGCGTGATACACGCTTAATTGACTGACGAGGCAGATTTTTTTCCCGCAGTAGGTTGCCATTTCTTTCTGCGGTAGACCAGTTGCCATTCAAGGCTATAGAACCCGGTTTGTCCTGCTATTTACCCATTGCTGGGGGTAGAGAAGAGGATTCAGACCTTTCCCAATGGTATTAGCACGTAAATGAATGTAATGGATTCGACTAGAATTCGAACTCGGCTCTCCGATTCTTCAATCCCAGCCGCTATCCATTACTCCACCGTGTCTCCAGTTGCGTTCACTTTCGCAAAAATTCCTTTCGGAAAGACACCAACTAACCCTAACTCCTAACCCTTAACCTAACCCTGACAGGAAGCATCGGGTTGGGGGGGGGGGATTATTTAGTGAAAATGTAATAGCGCGGTTTATTTCCTCATTTTCGTCGTCACGAGCAGGTAGGTGCGAATTTTAGCCTACAATTACGTCCGCGACAGCGGTCGTAAACATTTTTAGCGCAATTTTTTTTAGTTCAGGAGGGGGAAATCCACCAGCTACTGAAGTTCATCTAGGCAGATGGAAGGAAAACAGTCACTCATCCTTTTTTCCACTCCATTAAGCTATGTCCTATAAGCCCTGGGTAGGCCAGGATTCTCCAGTCTTGACTGTCAGCCAGTCTAAGAGAAGAAGATCTATAAACTGTGGAAAAGGCAAAGGGAAGATTATCTTTCCAAAAAATGTTTGTCAAATGCAGGTACTTACGACCATGTCAGTTTGAAACACCTCATCTCGTACAATCAGCGAAGTTAAGCAACGTCGAGACTAGTCAGTACCTAAATGGGTGACCACTTAGAAATCCTAGATGATGGTTGGTTAATGGATAAGAGTTCTGAAGTGAAATTCAGGGTAGCCGAGCTTCAATTCCATTTGGGTTCACTTACTCCGCAAACACCATTGGGAAAAGTAGGCACCAATCTCTTCTACAGCCAGCTATTTAGAATTAAATAATTACTATCTCCTAAAAGTTCCTACAATCTAAGAATAAACCGACAAAGATTGATAAACCGTCAATAAGCAAAGCAATCGATCAATCAATTGTTGAATGAAAAAAATATTAGAGAAAACTGTGGAGAGCTATAACCGCCTACGTAATGAAAAAATGGCATTAAAATATAACTATGTGAGTACAGAATTATATATATATATATATATATATATATATATATATATATATATAGATAGATAGATAGATAGATAATATTAGTGGTAAATATACATACATATGCAAAATATATAAATACACATACATGTATATTTTCAGAAAAAAATTCAAGAGGAAGAATCCAGGTTATTGATAATATTAGTGGAATATATATATATATATATATATATATATATATATATATATATATATATATATATATATATATATATATATCTTTTAACAGATTGTTAAATATAACAGACAGCGAATGTCTGTATGTTTTGATCATAAGCCGTTCTAAACTTCGTATAGTGGCTTAATTATATGTGTGTGTGTGTGTGTGTGTGTGTGTGTGTGTGTGTGTGTGCCTGTGTCTGTGTGTCTGTGTGAGTGTTAGAGCTTTATAAACAGACAATTAGGAGTAGATCGCTATCGCTCGGTTCACACTCCTTTCCCATCTTTGACCAGGAGTAGAGATTTAAACCGTGTTTCCTCATTCAGATTGAGTTTCCGGTTCCTTCTCTTAAATTCTTCTAATTCTCCCATGAAGCTGCTGGGAGTGATCCCAGCAGCTTCATGCATCGTAATGGCATTTATTGCTTTGCTTAGGTTGGAATTATATATATATATATATATATATATATATATATATATATATATATATATATATTATGTGAAAAAATGTATATAAGTATAAATAAATATAAGTATGTATAATTATTTATATATTATATACATATTATTATTAAAACGCTCAATATCAGAGATAGAGCTAACATATTTAGTTGGATATATATATATATATATATATCAACCAAATATATATATATATATATCCAAATATAATATATATATATATATATATATATATATATATATATATATATATATATATATATATATATATATATATACCATCTACGAGTATATATATATATATATATATATATATATATATATATATATCTCATTACGATCACCGAAGTTAAGCAGCGTAGACCCAGGTCAGTACTTAGATGGGGACCGCTTGGGAACACCTGGTACTGTAAGCCCCCCCCAGTCAACCCTTACCTCACAGTCGGTGGGGGGATGTAAACAGTAGTGTCAGAGCTATGCCGCCCGGAACTTCGTTCCTGGTAGGGACCACCCAAGGCGGACAGGTCTGACACACAGGCCGGCTAACAAGGGCTCTGGTGAAAATCCAGGAGCGTCTGCATCGGTAACCGGCGGCTTCTGGTCGTTCCTGTCTCTGCGTCTGTGGGAATCCGCGGCAAGCAAGAACGTTATCCGAGTAGGCCTTGATACCCTAATTCTGTAATTTATCCCAAGAATCTTCTTCTCATAACAGGAAGAAGCCGGCTCAATCCGCCCAGGGTGAATGCCGCATCAGTACAGTAGTAGTAGTGTATATATATATATATATATGTTAACGTTTTTCATTGACTAAATTATCCTCAACACCTTCTCTTGTTCTCTCTTTTCTTTCCTTTCTCTTCTTTTTGCAATTGGAAATTTTACTTCTCTTCTTTTCTATTTCTCTTTCTTCTTTCTTTTTCCTTTTATTGATTTCTTGCACTCATTTTTTTTTCTCGGCTTTAACCTGTGTATTTTTTCTTTTACTGTTATGGCAAAATTATATATTTCCTTAATGGAAGTTTTTCTTATGCCTTTCTAATTTTTTAAATACAGTGTAACCCGGATATAAGAGAGTTGTCGGGACCGGAGAAGAAGTCTCTTATATCCGGGTTTGGTCTATTTTATATACATTAACACAGGCACTAATTTGGGACCAGAGAAAATCTCTCTTATACCCAGGTCTCTTATATCCGGGTTACACTGTAGATAAAATGAAGTGATGTTTCGTAACTATCATTTTTTTTAAATCGTTTACAACTATCTTTGATCATCATCTGATGAGATGTCAGAATTGGGCATCGAAACAAATGTGCATTTTTGTAGTGGTAACTTAAATGTTCGAATGTAATAACTTTATATATATATATATATATATACTAAGACATTTTTATGTTTAACATTCTTTTTATCTACGCAAATATTTAAATAAAGTCTCTCTTTATAATAAACAGTATTAAATAACATTTACCAGCGAGAATGTACGAGAAATTTTCATAGAAAATATTCGTCCTCCGACAAGATTCGAACCTGTATTCTATACGGAACCGTCATATAGCCTGACGTGCTTTTACCGATTTCGCCACAGAGGATCGATCGGTTAGCAAGGTCGAATTTACTGCTTTTAAACTTCAATCATCAATGAATATCTCACGTACATTCATGTCTGCTCATGGCGTATCAAATGTAAACAAATATATTAGAAGTACTACCAATTTTAAGAACAGAAGATATGCAGAGGAGACAGTCTTGATAGCATTATGAAAATTTCTCGGACATATATATATATATATATATATATATATATATATATATATATATATATATGTGTGTGTGTGTGTGTGTGTGTGTGTGTAGGGGGAGGGGGAAAATGTGTGATATAGTGGATAAAGTTTTCGCGTAACGCATTTCGTTCTGTAGGATATCATTGGCCTTTGACTCCAGAAAATGAGAAAATTGTTGAAAATCTTAGAAAGAAAGTGAGGGAGACGTGAAAACATTGAGATAGGGGGAAATGTGAAAAGATAGATAGATAGATAGATAGATAGATAGATAGATAGATAGATAGATAGATAGGGGCGTGAAAAGACATGTACATATATAGATAGATATATAGATAGATAGATAGATAGATATAAATACATATATAGATAGGTAGATAGATAGATATAAATACATATATATATATATATATATATATATATATATATATATATATATATATATAGATAGATAGATAGATAGATAGATAGATAGGCAATCAGAGAGACAGACAGAAACATACGTGCAGAGAAATATTGCCCACATATAATTCTTAAGGAATGTTGGTATTGTAGGCCGATGAAAGTAATTCGAGAAAGGTATTATTATTATTATTATTATTATTATTATTATTATTATTATTATTGTTGTTGTTGTTGTTGTTGTTTTTCTGATTGTTAGGCCATTATCTGAAATTGAATCATGTTGAGTAAAATGTGAAAAATCGTAATTTTCCGCCACGCCTGTCTTCTTCCTGGGCGAAAAATAAAATGAAGTTGAACTCTTTTGGGAGTGCTTGTTTTGCGCATGTGCAGATTTGTTTTTTTTTTTAAGACACGCGCGTGACCATTATTGGACGTTTGACCCTTGAATAAAAATATAATATTATTTATGATTAAATTAATATTGTTTTAACCGAGCTTAGGGATGTTAGGTCATTACATATATATATATATATATATATATATATATATATATATATATATACGTACATACATATATATATATATATATATATATATATATATATATCATGAAATGGACAAACTGTTTATTATAAACGGAGCATTTACTTAAATATTTGTATCTGTAAAAAGAACGTATAAACATAAAAATGTCTTTATATATATATATATATACAGGCCTGGCGCAGGCCTAATTTCTCTTGTTCGGGTACGATTTACATTTTTCTGCGATAACTGCCGTGTCTGGGTAAGTATTATTACGGATTGATATTATTAAAAGGGCACGCCAATATTTTTCGATTGTGACAAATATCGTGGCTGGAACAAGGTCTACGGAATTCTGATCTACAAAAATTAAGCGCTGAAACATATTTCGCTATTTTTTGCGAGTGGACCAATCTATTTAAGTAGTGCGATGTATTTAGCTTTGTTGTTGATTGGATTTTTCAATAGATAAGGAATAACTAAGCCCCCCCCCCCAGCTCCAGCTGCCCCTCAAAAAATGTCCGTGTAAATGTTCATCAGGAAATAAGCAAAGAATAGTGCGGCCGAGTTAAAGACACTGGAAAAAGAAATGCAATATTTATGCTGAGGAATATATCTGTTATACGGGAACACACCTATTCTATTGTTAATAGACTCTCCCACCTATTATAAGTAGTAGTAGTAGTAGCAGTCGCCAGGGAGCTCAGCGAGTTGGTCTGAGTTCAGTCTGAAGTCGTACGACCAGCTGACTGGTTAAACTCTCTGCCTTCGGGCGGAGAGGAACCCGAACGAGGCTACGCCGAAGCGCGGAGTCTCTTTCGGGGTGGTAATCCGACCCTGAACCCGTTTATACAGGTTCAATGGGCATATTTTTAGCCGAGCCCTCGGGCTCGGAGATCCCACGTTAAACCGGCCTTGTGCCACATGATGCCCTCGTGGGGGGTGACTAAATACTCTCAGTGAGTTGGTGAGTCAGTCGATGTCGGACATTAAAGTATCAACCACCACAACTAGATTGCTGCGTCATTAAATATTATTTCAATTTCCTAACGTTTTGTACGTCGAACCTTCTTTAGGACCGACTCAGTGAAATACCTCCACTGCTTCCACTGTGAAAATTACTCTACAACAATATCAGAAAAGCAATACAAATACAGAAAGATGTTCCAAAAGCGTTTAAAAGCACGCCACAAAGATCTGTTGGAATTGTTTTTTAACCTAAACATATTTGGGAAGGATATCCAAATAATCTAGAGCCTATACTGACAGCAAACCGCAGACATACGGATAGAACATGGATTAAAATATACGAAGATAGAAAGGGGTGTAAATAAGGGTGTGTTTTCTCAGCGGACTTATTCAACCTATATAAAGTAGGGTGATTCTGAGAGAATTAGAAGTCCTACCAATCTTAACAACAAATGATATGCAGAGGAGACAGTGTTGATAGCAGACGAACGACAAGAACTCCTACAGAATGCAGTGAAAGAAAGCGTGAAGAAAGAACTAAACATCAATTGCAAGAAGATGGTTGCTAGCCTAAGATGCAACTTACAAATTGGAGATGCCAAAATTAAACAAGTACAATATATTAAACGTCTGGGAAGTCGGAAAGCGCGACACTAATTTCCGAAGGCGTATTGGGATAGCAAAAGATAACTTCCAAAAGTTAAGTAAAGTAGCAGGGAAATTTTGTTAGAAACAAATAAAAGAGTACTGAAGTGTTACGTAATATCAAACCTCCAATATGACAGTGAATGCTGGACAATCTCAGAAGACTGCTAAGAAAAACTATGAACCTGTGAGCAACGAAGAAGTTTTAGAGGAAACAAAAAATGATACTTATATTAAATATCAGGAAGGGAGAGTTCAAATTTCTCGGGTATATAATGAGGAAAGAGGGCTAGAAAAATTTGATACTCACAGGACAGATTGAAGGCATGAGGGACAGAGGAGAATAAAGCATAACTTCTCCAACGAGTAATTGTCAGCTCAGGATAATGGTGGATCGAAAAAATAAATGCATCTAAATCGTTTATAACTATCTTTGATCACCATCTAATGAGATGTCTGAATTGGGCATAGAAACAAATGTGCTTTTTTGTAGTGCCAATTTAAATGTTCAAATGTAATAACTTATATATATATATATATATGTATAAAGACATTTTTATGTTTAACATTCTTTTTATAGATAGAAAATATTTAAATAAATGCTCTGTTTATAATAAACAGTATTAAACAACATTTACCGGCCTGAATGTCCGAGGAATTTTCACAGAAAATATTCGTCCTCCAACAGGATTCGAACCTGTATCCTATACGGAACCGTCAAATAGCCTGACGTGCTTTTACCGATTTCGCCACAGAGGATCGATCGGTTAGCAAGGTCGAATTTACTGCTTTTAAACTTCAATCATCCATGAATCTCTCACTGTCACATAATCAACGATGAAACTAACACCCGAATGCAGGATGTGCAGGAAATATGATGAAACTGTCGACCATATTGTCTCAGGATGTCCAGAACTAGCAAAAAAGGAATATACTCCGAGACATAACTAACCACTGAGAGATGGTATGAGCATCAACCAGACACAGTTACCCAAAATAACGATGTAACTATCCTCTGGGACATACTAATTCAAACTGACAGGGAAATAAAAATCAACGGACCTGATATTATCATAAAAGTTAAGAAATTCAG